CAAAGGGCAGCCCCCCAGCAGAAGGTGCTGGGTCAACTGGCTGTCCACATGTGACAGAATGAAGTGGAACTCCTACCCCAAGCCATTTGCAAATGGTAACTGAAAATGGACTGAAGGCCTGACTACAAGGGCTAAACTCTAACAGACTTAGAAAAAGTCAGGAGTGAGTCTTTGCAACCTTGATTTTTAGCAATGGGCTCTTATATAAGGGCTCAAAAACACACAGGGCCACAGGAAAAGCAGGGCTCCTTCAAAGCAAAACCTTTTGTAGCAAATGATAATGTCAAGAAAGCATGCGAGAAGTGCACAGAATGGAAGAAAAAGGTTTGCCAATCATCTGACAAGGGTTGAGCCTAGAATATACCGCCCCACACCCCTCTCTCCCTCCTTTCTTTTTTTAGACAGGGGTTCACTACCTACCTCTGGCTAGCTGGAACTCACTGTGTAGACCAGGCTGGCCTCAACTTTACAGACTTGCCTGCCTCTCCCTCCCAAGTACAGGATTAGAGACATGCCTCCCACCCACCCGCTCTTAAGACAATAATGAAAGACAAAATCCAATTAGAAAATTGGCAAAGGCTTTCATTGTGATCTGAGCATGAAATGTCTCCCACAGGCTCATGGGTATGAATACCTGGTCCCCAGCTGGTGACACAGTTGTTGAAGGTGGTGGAACCTGGAGCCTTAATGTAGGAAGTGCGTCACTAGGGGCAGTCTCTGGAGTTTTGTTATCCATCATCCATCCATCCATCCATCCATCCATCCATCCATCCATCCATCCATCCATCCATGACAGTGTTTTGCCTGTCTGTACACCACGTGTATGCCCGGTGCTCTTGGAGGTTAGAAGAAGATATCCAATCCCTTGGAACTGGAGCTGCAGAGAGTTGTGAGTCACCCTGTAGGTGCTGGGAATCGAACCTAGGCCCTCAGCAAGAAAAAGTACTCTTATCTGCTCAGCCAATTCTCCAGCCTCCACGGGCCTTGAAGTTTTATACTTGGCCTTATTCCCTGTCTGCTCCAGCTTCCTGACTGCAGATGTCATGTGACCAGCTGCCACACACCCCTCCCACCATGACCTCCTTACTGTAGTCAACTATATCCCTCCTTAAACTGGGAGTCAGAAAAGCCATTTCCTTCTGTAAGAGGCTTCTACTAGGGATTTTGTCACAGCAACAAGAAAGGTAATCAACACAGATCTGAACGGACATTTTTCCAGGGATGGTGACTGGAAAGCACACGCAAAGTCAACAGCGACACGAGGCAGCAAGAAATGCAAACTGAAACCGTTTCACACCCACAAGGTCAGCAATCGTGAGACAGACAATCACAGGGGATGGTGATGTGGGAAAGCCGCAGCCCTCCGTGCTGCCGGCAGGAATGAAAAGTTGGGTCACCCGGTACACCACTCTGGCCATCCCTCAGAATGCTGAACCTATAGTAGCCATGTGACCCAGTGACTGCACCAGCAGATCCACACTCAAGAAAAATGAAAACTTCCATCCACGTAGAAACTCCTACACAAATGTCCGCTACTTACAATAGCAACAGTGGAACTGTCAAAACTTCCAACAGTGGAAGAGAACAGCCAGCAGTGTGGTCTCTCACGCAGCACCATCATCCAGCCGTAAGAACAAATGCAGAGTTGACTCACCACACAGCACTTTGAAGCTTGCTGAGTGAAAGAAGCCAGGCCCACAAGACCACATGCCGCATGGTTCCGTTATATAAGATGTCAAAAAAGACAAATGTATGGAGACAGAGAGGAAATTAGCAGCTGCAGGGGGGAGAGACTACGGGTGTGATGAGAGCAATGGGGTTTCTTCCCCAGGGTGGAAGGGACACTTTGCAATGAGATAGTAGAATGGCTGTATAACTCTGTGAATACGTCCAGCTTTTGGAGGGTGGGTTTTACAGTGCAACAGTTACAGCTAAATATAGATGTTCTGAAGAGTTCCCCGCCTCACCTCCCTGGTTGAGGTAGAAATGGAGTGGAATGTATGTTAAAACAGAACCTGTTCAAACCTAGTTCTAAGAGCAAAATCCTGGGTCACTCTGTCTCCGTGGCATAGAGGTGTCAGAGCTCACAGCCAGTTGAGTAACGCTGTGTTTCACCTCCTAGGCAACTTGGCCAAGTAGGATGTTAGGGCTACCCAATGCCTACAGATTCTGTGAATAGGGGGCATGTGGTGGCTGACCCCAGAGAGGGTATTTTACCTGGTATAGGCAGGAGTATGGGCAGATCCCTCAGACCCTTAGGGGCCTAGTCAGCAAAGGACACTCACGCAGTACCTGCTGGACAGAGTCATGCACACGGAATGCAGAGTGCATGGGTCACAGCACCTGGTAACGCTGGTGACTGGGCAGGAGGCTCACTTTGTGTGTCTCCTTCATCCAATGACAGAATCCTAGTTCTACATGTTGGGGTACTGCAGGGAGGCTGGCAACAGTAGTATTATCTTCTTTGTGTAAGTGTGCATGTGTGTATGGGGGCATTGTATGGGGGAGTGTGAAGGGTGTATGTGCATGTGTAAACACACACATTGTATACTTGTGTGAGCACGGACATTGTGTACAGGTGTGGGAATGGGCATGGTGTGCAAGCATGCGTACATGTGTGAGTGTGCATGCCCTCACATTTCCTGATGTGCAGAAGTCCTCCAGTGTGGCCTGCCAGGCAAGTACTCACAGAAGGACTAGGAGATACCAGTGCCCAGGTGTGTTCACTCAGCGTGGTTGTCACAGACAGTTCTGTTCTCAGTATGGCTCATACTACCTTACAGTGTGAGGAGCGCAGAGGGCTTCTAAACCATCCAGCTCCTTGAGGAACAGGAGTGTGGTTTGTAGGGTCCTGAGCTAATAATCTGAAGCAGAGGAATAGAATTACTACTCAAATCCAAGCAGGAGTCCTAGTCAATCCACTTGCTGGGACTGGCAGCACCCTGGTCTCAGTAACTTGTGATCTCTATCTTAGCAGAGGAACAGAGTCCAGGAATTGGTTTGCAGCTTCTGGCTACAGACACTCCTGGGGAAGGACAGGGTGCCAACAGGATGGTGAGGATTAGGCTGGCACCTTTCCTAGCGGTTGCTTGGCTTCTACACTCTGTGCGATGGGGGTGTATGATTGTGTGTGTGTGTGTGTGTGTGTGTGTGTGTGTGTGTGTGTGTGTGTGCGCGCGCAGGAGCTCACTGTGAGTATGTGAAGGACAGAGTTGGCATCAGATGTCCTACTTTAACAGTCTCTGCTTTTTGTTTGTTGCTTGGATGGACATTTTGAGATAAGCTCTCTCACTGAAGTTGGATCTTGGTTTTGGTAGGCTGGCCATCCAGGGAACCCTCAGGATCTTCCTGTCTCTGCCGGCCACTCCTGCAGATGTACATCGCTGAACCTGACCTTTATGTGGGTTTGGGGGACCCACACTCAGGCCCTCATGCTTACATGCAAGTGCTTTACTCATCCCCCCCCCCCAGCCTGGCTCCTATACTCCTGAAGCCAAAGGTGCCATGGAGACCAGAAATAATTCCAGAGCTGAATGGACGAGTGTGGGAACATGCTGCTCCTGCTCATGGTCCCCTGGGGTGATGGGTGACTCAGTCATTGTGAGTCAAAATGGTTCCTAGCACATCCTTGCTGGCCCCTCCATCCTGGCCTCTTGTTATTTCCCATCTCCAGATGTTTGGGGTTGCTGGCACTGGCCCTGTAAACTCAGCCATGGTGTGGGAGGGACTGCAGTGCATAGAGACAATATGGATTTCTTCAGGTTTCCTGTCCTAGCCAGTCCCAGATAAGATAAGTGGCTGTAAATCAATGGCCTCACTCCCTTCCCAGGCCTCTCCTTACACACTGAGATGACTTCCTGGAAGAATTCTTCAGGAAAATCTCAAACTTCTCCCAGAGTCATTGGAAAGAGAGTCTGAACAGGCACTGAATGTGGGCTCAGCAGCCCCAAGGCAGGCACTGAGTATCAGCTCAGTAGTCCCAGAGCCTCCTGGTTCCTTAGGAAGTAGGCAGGGCTAGGCAGCAGCAACATCTTTCCCAGAGAGCAAAGTCTGAGGTGAGTGGGACTGCCTGGGGCCTGGAGTATGCATGCCCAATCCATCTCCTACTGGGCTCCAAGCTGGGCACTTAGGAATGGCTCTCAGATATACCTTACCCCATGGTGAGAGGAAACAAATTGGGCTGTGAATCCTGCCAGAAGGTACCCAGACCCAACATCACCAAGCATCTCATAGGACTGTGTGCCACCCTGCAGGAGGTGAGCGGAATAGAACTCTGTAGCAGCTCTGTAGCTTCAGGCAAACGTCTCATGAAATGAGGAGCATCACTAAAACACATCACAGGCAGCATGTGCCTGCTCCAGAAACTTCTGAGAGAGAGCCGGAGAGGTGACATCTCTGATAGTCTAGACCACATGACGGGAAAGATGGCTGGCATGGCCAGCTTGTCGGCAGTGCTGGTTCTTTTAAGTGTAAGTCCAGTGTCCAGCCAGTGGTGGGGCACTCCAGGGGCCAGAGTAGGGCTGGCTTTGTGAACAAGAAGTGACCTCTACCAAGAGAAGATGCCAGTGCAGGAGAGAGGAGGATGATGACTCTAGTTTCTTTCCTCTGGTGGAGCAATTCAAGTCAAACTGGGTCAGGCAGACAGGTTGGGTTGGACTTGTCCCCTGAGGATCCAAACCTGGCTCCTTTATCAGCTGATGCTGCCAGGAACCAACCTGGTCGTGGGAGCCCTTCCTCTGCCACACTGTGGGTTCCGTAGAGACAGTCTAACAACAACCTGAGAGTGGTAGGACCCTCAAGGCATAGACAAAGGTCCCCCTTACCCTGAAGACCTCTCAGTTGGGTAAGGCTGCAGGGTTGGTACCAAGTTTGGGAGGGTTCATGAGATTCTTGTCTTTCAAAGGCTGCCCAAGAACACAGAGGCTGCCATCATGTAAACATCATAGTACCCATGGAACTCAGCCATTGGCTCTGATGGTCACAATCTCAAGACAGGTTGCCAGAGACCCGGAAGAAACGTTTCTTCCAGACTTCCGTGGTATCCATGCATTGCTACCCAGTCCCCTTGCCTAGGAACAACCTGAGCTGATGGACCTTGACCACTGTCCTTGGTCTGCTTCAAGCCCTTCCCTTGGGAAGTCTTCTCTCTGGACTCCAGGTTCCTAGCCTGCCTCTTCTCTCCTCTAATAATTGTCTTGTGCACCGGAAAGCTGGCCTGGTCTCCACATCCAGGGAGACAGAACCAGTGTCTGGGAGACTCGTGCAGTAGTTTTACCCTCAGCAGGTTAAGAGTGTCCATGTGATACAGAGGGATTGCACTCGGGAGGAGGTAAAGCCAGTGGGAGGGGTTTTGGCTTTGAGAATGGGGGCTCCTGACACAGTCATTTGCATAAGCTGGTGCCAGCCTGCTGTGCTATGTGCAGCCAGGTTGTGGGCACACTTTCTGTGAGCCGGAGCCAACTGAGGAGGGTGGAGTGGGCTCTGTGACCTTCCAGTACAGGACCAGCATCCTGGGAATAGGTCCATCTGAATTAGTGAGGCTGTAGTACATCCACACCCTGTCTACGCCTTGTTAAATTTTCGTAATGTGGAAAGTTGAAAGCAAACAAGGGTGTCCCAGTCTTGCCTTCCTCTCCTCAGCCTGGCTCAAGGGATCTGTAGTTGCCAGGCTTGCCCTGCAGGGACAACATGAAGAGGTCCTCCAGGACATGGAGGTTAGGTGATGACTCCTAGAATGTTTTATTCTGAGCCTGGCTAGCTCTCCAAGACTCTTCCAAGGTAGCTCCCTGTCAGGCTCCAAAAAAACCTGGACAAAAGGATAACTGGTGTCTATTAGCACACCAAAGTGTCCCTTGGCCTCCAGGTTCATTCAGTACCTATGGCTCTCCTCAACACTTCTTACCCCACCCCTACGTTAAACCTGTCAGGGGCTTCCCTTCCCTCCCCCCAGCTTTCTCTCTCTCTGCTATATATCCCTGTCAGTTCAGCCCTATGCTCTCTTGGTTCTTCTCTCTCTTGGTTCTTCTCTTGATCCTCTTGGCTCAATCTTGCCCTCTTTGCCCTCTTGGCTCTCCTCTTCCTCTCTCTTTCCACCACCACTCCTCTCATGGACCGCTCAGTCTGCTGGCCATGTTCCATCCACTGCTTTCTCTCCCTGCTCTGGACTCTTCCAGACGCCTCTGTGTATACTCTCCCTCACATCTACAACAAAAACTCCTCTTCAACCATACCTTGGAGTGGTCATGTTCTCATAGTCACGCATACCCCAAGGCAGAGTACCCAGTAGAAGCTATGCTTGGGGCATTGACTCACCATGGACACACCTGTGTCACCTACTCCCCTAGAGGATACAGGACCTTTGAGGCAGCTGTTCCCTTAGGAGTCCAGAGGCCCTTTTTTCAAAGCCTCACTGGTGGCAGTGAACAGTGAGGGGGACCAGGAGTTCAGAGTCTAGTGCTCCCCTATGTGGAGCCCAGGTGTGTCCAGAGAGGTAATGGTTACCTCAACAGGAACCTCAAAACTATAGCTTGCACCTGCCCACTGTGAGGCCGTCATCTGACTCTGTGGGCTCCCCTGTACCTATCCCCCGACTTCCTACCCTTTATCTGTACCTCCAACCCAGCATGTCCACTCCATAGCCCATCAGTATTCTAGTTCTCAACTCGGGCTTTGTAGAACTCTACTTCTTGGAGGCCTTTGGGACCCCACTTATGGAGGCCCCTTCCCTGTGACCTGTCATCTGTCTCAGGTAGCCTCTTTTAGTCTTTCTCTGCCTTACTTCCCTCTACTTCCAAGTGTGTGCTAGGGAGTGTGCACAGACTTCCCAATGTTGGGGGCATGGTGCCTGCCAGGAGTTTCTCTTGGGAACTGGTGTCTCAGCAACATCTGTACATGCACTAGGAATTAATGAATGAGTAAACAAACGGATGAATGAACGTGGGAACAAGTAGAGAAGATGTGGTTCAGGCTGCCTTTGTGTCCCCTAAGTTCACATGACTCCTGATCCCAAGGGGGTGGCATGAGAAAATGGGTCACTAGAAAGTGACAGATCCAGGGAACAAAGCCTCATGAAGATGGCTCTTCTATATGAAAGGGACCCACGGGACAGCACCCACTTCCGTACCTGCAGACATGGAATGAAGGTGACATTAGCATCTGGAAGAGGCCCTGAACCCTCAGGCATCTGGACTCCAGCACAGATGTTCAAGCTGTCTGGTGTCTGATACCTGTCACAGCAGCCAGGATGGCTGGAACCACAGCAGCCAGGATGCTAGGGAAATCAGCCTTCCTGTGATCGACACCATCGCTCCTGTGTTGACACATTCAGTTTCTCTAATTCCCACCGGCTTTATGGGCTCTGCATTTGTCAAAGCTGTCTGTTCATGGTCCAGTGTTGTCAGTGCTATGTAAGGGCTTCCGGACAGTCGCAGGGACCAGAAGCATTTAGCAACAGCTCTACTCAGGGCTTCAAGAGTCACAGTAAAAGACTAGAGCCACACAGTTTCCATCTACTTGTGACAGATGCTGGCAAAACTGCCAGTCATGCATGCACATCTCAACCAGACCTGAGATGTGAAACATGGAGACACCCCAGAGCTTGTCCTTGGAATGGGTTGGTGGGGACACAAAATCCACAGCAGTATTCTCTTTTCTCCATATACTTCTGTGATATCCCAAACCAAGGCATCTAACTGAAAGAGGCTCTTGGTCTCTCCTAAGAGAATAGCTGCCCCTTATTTTTAAGGTTAGTCACTGAGAGAAACCAATGTTAGAATGATTGATTTTGGCTCGCACTCTCAGAAGGTTCAGGTCATTATCTCTTTGCCCCTCTCCTGTTGGCATGGATAAGACACAATATCATGGCAAAATGGCCTAGCAGAGCAGGGCTGCTGTTCTCACCTCTTGGTGTGAAGAAAGGACAGACATGACACCCCCTTCAAAGTCGAACGCCCAGTGGCCCATTTCCTCGAAAGGTCCCACTTCCCCTTGTTGATCCTCTATGAACTCATCAGTGGGTCATATGGGTGCCCTCACGATCTACTCACAGGTCATTAGCACCACCAGCTGGGGATTGAGCCTTCAACACACCCAAACCATGATATATGCTAAGTCCTCTCCAGAGATCTGACATGGTAAGTGGCTGAGATCCAGACTGTCCTGGGCAGTGTGGGCAGGCCTGGGTTTAGGGGCTCCTGGCAGGCCAGCTTTGTCCCTTCTCCTCCTCCTCCTCCTCCTCCTCCTTTCCTCCCCCAGAGCCCCACTCCCTTCCAATTCCAATCCTCAGAGAGGTTTCTGAGGACAGGTCGGGCAGCCTGGCAAGTGGGGACTGGTGCCACATGCTGTGTGCCACGTGCTGGGGACGACAAAGTTGACAGAGGCAAACCCATTACCCGCTGGCCACATCTGGTCACATCTGCTATGATGGCAAACAAATGGATAAACATAGAAAGCAGGACCTGGGGCCATGCAGGTGGAAAGTGGACTGGCCAGGTGGGTGGGACCAGTCTCATTGTCCACCAGTCTGTGACTCACTCCCTCAAACCCCGTTCAGCTCTGGGAAGCAAGTCTGAATGGAACTGAAAGCACACCAGGCATTCTGGGTGACAATTGGAATCAGGACTGTCTCGTCTCCACTCCACCCATCCAAGCTATGTCAACATTACACTTCATCTGTACCCTTCAACTGATGGCCGTGGTCTAGACACCTGGACAGTGACTGACATGGCTGGCTGCTTACTGGACAGAGTCTGTCTCCTTTGGAGAGATGATGCTCTCCGTGTTTGGAGATCACTAGATGCTGAGAGGTGAAGCTGGACGTACCACTAGGGCTCCATGTCCATCTTGGCCATCCAACATGACCCTTGCCATAAATAGCCACCATTTTCCCATCTTGTGTGAGGTGGCTTCCTTTCTTTCCACTGAGTATATACATGTCCATTGGCACCAATGTTACTATGGGGTCAGGAACTTGTGCCTGTGAGGTCAAGCCACTCCCACGCAGCATCTGGGGTCTAGAGTAGTTGGCAGGAGATCATCAGTGGCCTCCAGGCTGATGAATCTCATCAGGGTTTCCAGGGCTGCGGTGGAAGGGAAATTGCTGTCGCAGGGAAGGATCCGTGCAGGAAGGGGCCTTCTCTGGGAAGTGGACAGCCTGAGGCTGAGGCTCATCAAAACCAGACACTGCTGGGGCTGTCTTCTTCTCAGTTAGATGTGTCTTGTGCACAGAGTCCCGTGGCTTCCTCTTAAGAAGCCCCTGTGTCTCTGGCTGAATGTAGATTCTGAGGTTCCCGCCAGGTGCCATGTGTACATCACAAGACACCACTGTTCTGAGTGTGCAGGGACTGTGAGCGTGTCTTCAGAGTGTCCCTGTTCTGAGTGTGCAGGGACGGTGAGTGTGTCAGACTGTCCCTGTTCCGAGTGTGCAGGGACTGTGAGTGTGTCTTCAGAGTGTCCCTGTTCTGACTGTGCAGGGACTGTGAGCGTGTCTTCAGAGTGTCCCTGTTCTGAGTGTGCAGGGACTGTGAGCGTGTCTTCAGAGTGCCCCTGTTCTGAGTGTGCAGGGATGGTGAGTGTGTCTTCAGAGTGCCCCTGTTCCCAGCGAGCAGGGACTGTAAGCTCTGTCCCTTAGCTCCTTGGTGTCTCTGTGTGTGCAGAAATGGATGTGGCTACCTTAAGGTGGGCATCTATGTCCCTCACAATCAGGCTAGTGCTGCCAGGCATCTCTTCCCATGGAACCCATGACACATCAAACCTCACATCCCCTCTAATGAGAGGGTATGCTGAAGTCACAGAAACATTTGGAGAACCTGGGCCTGCCTGTCCTGGATGCAGGGGTCTCACTGATCACTAGGACTATGGATAGCACAAGGGCACAGGATATTTTCGACAGTTCTTCTGTTACTAGAATGACCATTAGGTGATTCCCAGGCCCCATGCTATAACCCTTAGCGTTGCAGAACCTTTGGAAGTGACCTTCCTAACCCAACTGCATTTATACAGGCACTGCTGCAGCACCATGTCATGTGCTAGACACTGGGTCACAGAGATAGCAGAGGCCAGATTGTAGGGGGAACAACCATTGTCATTAGGAGGGTACTGTGTAAGCTTCCAGTGACTAAATGCAGGGACACCCAGGGGGAAGTGACAAGTTCCCCCTGGACAAAGCTTCTTGCATGGGACAATCCTGCTTCCAAAGAATGTGCACCCCACCTCCTTTCTCTTTTTCATTTTGAGCTAGGCAGCCCACACTGATCCTGAACTCACTGTCATCTGTCCTAAGCCTACCAAGGGTTCAGGGTCACAAATGACACCACTACACCTGGTTACAAGAATATTTGTTCTTGCTGGTGTCCTTAGACAGATTGGGAACTAAGAAGTTGGGGATCCAAACCTAGCTAAAGGCTGGGCAGAAATGTGGAATGAGAGTGTTGAAAAGCTATGTAGTAGACAGTTTAGATAATCCAGACCTTACAGGAGATAGCGAGGCAGCACCAGGAAAGAATGCAGGGAATAAATGGGGGATTAAGGGGGTGAGATAGGAAGAGAGGGAGGGAGGAAAGCCTGACTTCATCTTGGGAGCGGGACACGAGTGTAGGGAGCTGGCAATGTCTGGTGGCACATGGGTCAGCAGTTAATTCTGATGGATGTTCTAATCTGACAGTTTCTCTGATCTTTGTTGCTGGTCCAGCATGTTTCAGCCACAAGAAGCTTTTGTTCACAGAGACAGATCTTCCTGGGAGACCTGGAAAGGTATGGGACTCTCTTGATGTCACCGAGCCCCTCCTTGCATGTATTCCCCTCAGCATGGACCACCTGCCCCTCAGTATGACTTCTGCTTCAGGACCAAAACCAAAATTCCAAGTAGCCATCCCTAACCACAAACCCATGGCCTTTCCTGCCTTGTGATCCTCACCCAGACCCCAGGACTTGACACACCCACCTTGATTTGATACTGTAGCCTTCCTTTAAAGTTGATTATTCTATACTGGTCTCCTTGCAGAATCAAAGAAGGACTTCAAGAGGAGGAGACATTTAGGTTGAGAGGCAAATAATGCATCCCTTTGATGCTTCAAGGGGTAAGAAATGGCCAGTACAGAGGCCTCAAGAAGAAGAATGCTTACACAAGCATGGGCAATGGATCACCATTGCCTATATGTTTAGTGAACGAGTCCATCCATCTGCCAGGCATTCATCCATCCGTCTATCCATCCAACCACCTATCCACCCACCCACAGGTCCATCCATCCATCTACCTCTTCATTCTCTCATTTGTTCCCCATCCATCTACTCACTAATCCACCAATTTACCTATCAATCAATGAATCATCCTTTACAGACTCATTAATCTATCCTTTCATCCATACTCAAGCCATGCTGCCACTCCCCATCCACTAATACAACAATTCACCTATTGATTTAGCAGTCAGTTGCTCAGTTTACCTATCTATCAATTCATCTATTTGCCCATCTGTCCATCAATCCACCCATCAACCACACTAAGTCAAAGTGTCTGCTGACTTAAGAGAATGGGTGGAGGTAGATTTTTACTGTGATGGAGGAGACGGCATTTATCCCCGTCTATCTGTATAAAGGATGAGAAATATGTTCTCAACTCTGGGGCATTTATAAACCTCTTGGGATTGTGCCCCTCAAGCGACGTTCTTGTGGACCAGTGTCAGGTAAGGATCCAGAAAATAAGATTTAGAGTGAATTGTACATAAAACAAATTCAGCCAGAAGGGAGTTTATAACCTGGGCTGAAAGAAGCTAATATATGGAAAAAGTGACTTGAGCAAGTGCTGAAAAGGCCACTGGCAAGTGACAGACTCAGTCTGCAAGTCGCCGCAGGAGGGGTAGCGATGGGCCCAGCCTTCAGCCAAGTGCACTGAGGCTGCCACCTCATTCCACCCAGATCCCATACTATTCACCCCTTCATGTCCATTCTGCGACACGGTCTGTTTGGCTCTTTCCCATGAGCCTCTCCTGCCACACAGCTTTCCAGGGAAGTATTTCCATGAGTGACTGCTCCCAGTCTCCCACTGTAGTCCTGGCCAGTCATCTGTATGGAAGGGATGGCAGAGGCCTGCAGACACTAAGTCACCACTCTGCGATTGTAGTAGGGATGTGTAGTCAGGCCTCCTATCCAGTGTCCTGCTGCCCATCCCCAGGCCTCTCCAGCTCACTGCTCATGGCTAGGTACAAAGAACTCATCACTGCTGTGTCTGAGCCACAGCTGTTTAATCCCCACTCTGCTTGTGCCTGCACAGGCTCACCTGGAGCTCCTCCAGCTCCATCACCGTCCCTGGGTCTCCTCTGCCCTGCCCCTTAGAGCCTCCCGTGAACACTGAACACAAACCCACTTCCTATTTTCCAAACAGGGCATGTACTGGTAAGCCTTGGTCCCCAAGTATGACTTGCCTCAGGGTGGGATCCTCAGGCCCCTTGGTGCCAACCTCTCACATGAGGATGTCAGCACACATGGAGGACCATTCCAGCTCCTGGGACACTGATGAGCAAATCTTAACTACCCACACCAGCTACCAAAGGAGAGGTCTTCTGTCCCAGAAGTGAGGCAGAGCATAGCTAACGCGCCTTCCCAGTCACTGGGTCTGGGAGTCCCATAATTCTGCTCTCCTGCCTGCCTATCCCATAGCTAAAATGAGCCATGAGCAGCGCAAAGTGTCTCACACAGGCCCTTCAGGTCTTTGCCTGCTGTGGGAAGGGCTGCTTGAGAGGTGATAGGCTAACTAGCAAGGCAAGTTTAACCCCGACTCCATTTTTTATTACGAGAGCACTTCCAGGAGCCTCGGTCTTTTCATCTCTCAAACAGGAAGACAACAGCTGCCTGAGAGGGCTGCCGGGGACCCTGCACAGTGATAAGACAAGCACATGTCTGGACTCGTAACAACTTGAAGAACAGTGTGTGTGTGTGTGCGCGCGCGTGCACACAGGCTAGAGGAATATCTAGCTGTCTTGCTCTATCACATTCCATAGTATTCCCTTGAGATAGGGTGTCTTACTGACCTGGAGCTAGGCTAGCAGCCAGAAAGCCCCAAAGACCTTTTGTCTATTCTTCTACCCCTCAGCACTGGGGCTGCAGGCACATGTGCAACCATGCCTGGCTTTTGGTGTAGGTGCTGAGTTTCAAAACCAGGTCCTCATGCTTATGCAGAAGTCCTCACACGCAGTGAGCCATCCACCAGCGCTCTGGCTGGATTATACACTGGCTTCATACTGAATGGGAAACAGCTCCCAAATCCAACAGCCCCGGATTCTGATCCATTTGCAGATCAAACCCACAATGACGCTGTGGGTCAAAGTGCATGATGGGACTTCAAGGGGACAGCATCAGACTCCCAAGGGACATCCAACCCTGAAGCTGGGAACTCTGCTGGCCAGGGCCAAAAATATGAAGCCAGGGCAGGGAGGAGAGGGGAGTCAGGCCACCCCTATATGTCAGTGAGCACATCTTGGCTCACCTGGAGTAACTCAGCAGTCACCTCCTCGGAGGCTTCCATGGCAGGAGCCATTGTGGACAGGAGTCAGTGACCAAGACTATACAACCAGGTCCAGGTAGTGTCCAGTGCCTGGGATAACATAATTAAGTCCCTACTCCAGGAGTAGCAGCCACAGCATCCGGTACTGACCCCAAGGAGGACATCAAACTAAAAACACAGTTGGCTTGATGTCACAAAGCCACATTCAATAGGGTCATGAACAAGTGAGTGGCCATGAGATGTGACTTCATTCATTCACTACTTCATTCATCCATTCAGAAGACTTGAAGTGGAAACATACAATGCAGGAACCAGTGATGAGCATATGGTTGAGTAACATCTGGATTAGCAGGGACATTGCCTGGAGTGGGGGGTGGATGAGGA